TTTCAAACTGCTGACCTTGATGTTAGCAGCCCTACTTGTAACCATGACACCAGGACTATCAGCTTAAAATTTGCACCCTAGGTATCTATCTGGCTTGCCTCGCCCAGATCTAAGCTTTTAAGAGAATGGCATACATTCTGGTTAATTTGGTGGGGAAGGGGACATTTGTGGAAAGGCAGGATTTTGGGAAATTGCCTGTTTGTCTACTTTCTTTCTCTTGACATTATTGCTTGGTAGGCAAGTAAACCCTCCAACTATAAACAGTCTGAGAATGGAGCTCGTAGAAAAGGCAGTGGGAAGTGCGCGTGTCCGAAGACATCCTGGACTCCCAACCAACCCGAGTTGGCCCTGCACCTCAGCCGACAGTCAGGGCCAGTGTCTGCGCCTGGCTGACTGCATACCAACCGGGGAATCCACAGTTAAGCAGCAGCAGCAGCTGACGTTGGATGAAAGAGGCTAGGGCGTCAGAGTTTGGGTCAGGCCTGCTCCAGGAACAGTGTTTCTCTCCAGTCCAATTCCTCATAGATATAGGATAAAGGCTGAAGGAAGACCCGAAGATGCTCCCTACCGGAAATGAACCCAGAGCTGCCACTTTGACCTGCACTCCTTTCCATGTAGCGAGTCCCACTGTCTATATTCCCAGAGCCAGGGCGCACCGGGGCTGACCGTCTCTGTATTCCAACACACTTTCCCGTCTGCAATAATTCAATTCTGGGGTGGCAGTACACGGCCCACTCGGTCGCGGGAGCTCGCCCCAACGCGGCACTGTGGCGGAGGACCCAGTCCTGTCCCGCCTCCAAAGCAGGCTCAGTGGGCAACAGGCAGGAAGCCCCCACCCTGCAGGCGGGGCCTGTGGAAGACTAATCGGGGAATGCGAATGCGGCACTCCCTGCAGGCCAGCACACGCATTTCGTGGAGTCTGCAGTGATTTTGTCAGCTACCAGGGAGATGGCGGGGAGCTCAAGTGCGCAGGTGGGTTTCTGTCTTTTCGTCCTGGGCAGGGCTGGGAGACAGGCCGAAGGTAAGTAAGGGAACACAGGGCCTGTGGCAAGCACAGAAACTTCTTCCTGTCCAAACACCTGAAGCTCATCTTTGAGAGTACTTTATCATAATGTTGGCTTACAAACGCAAGTGATGCTCCTTCATCTTGCACCGAAAGATGCGTGATCACACCGCATGCAACAGCACTTTTCACTGATGAGAACTGGTCATTGTGATGGTCCCCGTTTTTTGTTTCAGTTTCAGCAGTTTCTACACCCAGCAGTTCAGGGTCTTCTAGGCAGACGCAGCAGCAGAGCCTTTGGTGCTGGGTCTAGGCTTCCCAAGGCACACGTGGAAAGCCCGTCCCAATCTGCGGCCACCAGAGCCCCTCTGAGTCCATCCAGTAGTCGTTTCGGGCCTTTTTTTGTGGTCAAGCTTAGCAGGTTGCAGTGGTTCTCAGAGGGGAGGGGGCTGTGACACTGGCAGGCTGGCCTGGAGCCCAGGCCATCCCAGAGGGGAGGGCTGGCCACAGGAATGAGGAACCTCTAAGGGGCTGCTGTTTCGAATCTCTGGCTTATCCTAGAGAACCACATTCCCACTTCTCTGCTGGACTGAGTCCGATGCTTCTGTCCACTTGCACAGAGATAACTCAGAGCTAGGTACTCCAGAAAGAGGAAATGATCATTCCACCTTGATCCCTGCAGGCTCTTGGGTAAGAAAGCGTTAGTTTTAAGGAGCTGCGTGATGTCTCGAACCTGCTGAAGAAGCTATGATGATTCACAGACAGTGTCCAATGCCCACCCACCCCTTTCACAGGGGCCCAGGGCACGTGCTGTAACTGAGATATGTCTCTGGAGGCAGGTGTGAACCCACCTGCTATGTGGAGGGCCCAGTTGAGGACCCCAGGCTGGCTGTCCCAGGCACCCAGAGAATCCTAAGGGGTTATTCCTTATTTGTCTTCCTAACTACTGTGTCAAGGCCTGGCACAGGCTCAGGAAAAGAAGAGGCTAGCTAAGTGAGTATTGGATGATTTTTAATTTTCTTAAAAAATCAGAGAAACATGGATTTAGGATCTTTAGTCCCAGAAAACACCGCAAAACTAGATTGTGCAGGGGACGGAAGAAACCATGTTTACACAGATCCAGAGTCAAGGGGGACCCAGAAGTGACCAGGGAAGAGATGCAGGAATGGAACCAGTAAGATCTGGGGGATGGGTGTGTGTGTGTGTGTGTGTGTGTGTGCTGTCTGTGAAATCAAGTGAGGTAGTGAGGTAGCCGGAGTGTAAGAACTCCGGGGCTGCTGGCCACACCTGCAGTCCACCGCCCTCTGCTTCTTTGGGACTGGGACCATCACACACCCAGTGGCTCACCTCAGACACCCACATGGTCCCCTGGTTCATTCCCCCAACACCAGGGTTTAATTTCCACCTGGAATCTACTTCCCTTGACCTTGGACCAAGCCTAGACTTCATCTTCTCTCCCATGCAGCTCCCCATCTTGTCAGTCACCAGCTGAACTTATGAAAATCAAAGTCTGGTACTGTGACCCGCCTGACCATATTCCCAAGGTCAATTAGGGTACTGCTCAGACCCGGATGTTTGTGTCAAAGACTCACTATCCTGTCCTGCTCCTTCTTCCAGCCTCTACCTCTAGTCAGCTGGAACCCCTGTTCCTCTCTGAGTCTCTACAAATGCTCTACCCAATTGAGAAGGTCCTTACCCCTTCACCTGGCTGACTCCACTCTTCTTCGCTGTCCC